AATATAACCAATATCCTAACCCTGAACTCGGAAATGATAAAGCCTGAAACCTCCCTAAAGCCTAACACCCCACCTAATTCAAAAACCTCGATAAAGCCAATAACCCTGAACTGGGAAATGACATTTACATGGAATTTTACAAAAATTATTTTGTAGAATGCTATTATGCTTTGTTGTTATGCTCTTCGCTACACAAATGTATGTCAACAATAATATTATTTGTATGTATAATCTTATTGTAATTTAAGTTCTTCATAAAGTTCTGACATAATCATTTTGATGTCGCTTTTGTTTTCATCTCTTTCGTAGTATCTTAAGGTCTTGTATAATATATTCAAAGAAAGACCATCCAACGATTGTTTTTGGTGTTTTCTTCCTCTCATTTCTCTTATAATCATAAAGTGTCTGCACTCCGGATACGGTAAGCATTCATAAAACTCTCTGACTAACTTGTATAGTCTCTTTGTATGCTTTATAGTTCCATAGCTGTTAGCCGATGAAGTAAGGATCGGTCCCCTGTCCTGTCACCAGCTTCCAACCCTCGGCCTTGTGAGGCTTGGCTCCGAGGAGCCGACTCACTACTTCCGTGGGCCCGCCTTGCAATGCACGCCACACCTCATCATGCATGAACTCCTTGGCGGCCAACAAGCGCAAGGTCGTGAGCTGCCGCGCTGGCGGCTTGAAGGTGGACTGCCGCCTCACCAGTGGGGCATCGGGGCAGCCATCACGCGTGAGCGGCATCGCATGCCACTGTTTTACCTCACGGCACTCGCCCTTTACACATGTGATGTCACATTTCTTAGCGGCGTCGCCGAGCTCACCTGGGCACAACAGAGCCACTTTGCCCTTCACCTCGTTGACCCGAGCCATATCCATAAGCTCAGTGGCCTGATCGGAGCTCTTGACGAGGATACGGTTGGCCTGCAATGGCAACTGTTCTTGCATGCGGCGCCGGGCCTCTCCGGCAGTGATTAACTGCACGGACCGATCCACTTGCCAGCCGTGGCCTTGTGATTTGCCGTCACCAGGGGCCTTTGGTGGTCGCGCCGTCCAGCTGTCGTAAAACGTCTGCTGCTGCCCTTTGCTTTCCTGCGCCTGCTGCTTTTTAGCTTTCGCCTTCTGTCGCCTCTCGGCCCGGCCGCTCTTCAGGGAACGGCCCGCCTGCGCTGACACAAGCACATTGCGCAGGCGGTTGCAAAGCCCAGCCGGCCCTTGCTCCGTAGCGCGGGAAACAAGGCGCACGATCGCTGCCAGCAGCTGCTTTTCATCGACAGTGCCCGGTCCGGGGCCGGGCTTGCCAGCACCTTTGCCCTTCGCTTTGCCACCTCCAGCCGGCTGGCCGGACTTGCCATCGCCTTTGCCTGGCGCCTTGCCACCTCCACCTTTGGCCTGGGCCTCACGCTTACCTTTGCCCTTGCTGTCAGCTGGGCCGGTGTCACTGCTGAACTGGGCCACCAGCTGTTGAAGTGCTTGCAAAAAGGCACCTTCGTCCTTGCCTCCGCCTCGCGGTGCGCGAAGGGGGGCCGTGGTTTGCCGTAGCGTTCCAGCCTGTCGCACAAGACTCAAGCACAGGATCTCGGCCTGGTCCGCTCCAGCATTCACCGCAGATGCATGCTCATATCTCGCCACTATTGTCAAGACTTGCTACATCTAAAAGATAAAGACGAGTATATACTGATACACAGGGGCAACGACTTACCAAAACTGCAACACGATTTTAAAGAAAGCGGTTATGAGCCTTTTGT